TCTCTCTCTCTCTCTCTCTCTCTCTCTCACACACACACACACACACACACACACACACACACACACAAAGATGCGACCAGAGGTTCAATGCACACGGTCGTTTGACTGTGCATCTGGCAACCTGAAGATCAGGCAGAAAAGGCAGAGTGTTGTTGCTAATGTATTCCAGCAGGCTACTTACTGCCCTTGGCATTTGATGCCCACCAGTAGGTCTACCTGGCCTCTTTACCCTCATGAACAGATAAACAGCATCACACAACATTTCTCATAAAAAATGAAGCCACATCCTTCATCCTTCTCCTCCCACAGCCAGACTTCCGGACCTGCCCATCATCTCTTTGCATTGACGCATGCGCACATGCATGTAAAGCTACTGAGTAAATCTGGACCTGACTAGCAGCGAGTACCCCTACCGTCTCTGCAAGTTACACCCTGAAGTTACTAAACCAACCTTACGCTCTTTGGAAAACACAATTGCCCATCGGAGAAGTCCAGATGCGCAAGGAACTAACATCGAAGGAGGAAGGACACAATTTGTCCTGATCCCGATGACGTGTGATGAGTGGTACTGAACCCTAGAAAAAGAGCACCCTCTTTGGGAGCTTCAAACTTCTGGCACATTCCTTCTGCCAAGCTCTGGAAATATACAGTGACAAGAAATTGTCCCAAACACCGCAGATGGGACTCGGATAATCCAAGTCCCTGGGACCCTGATAATCCAAGTCCGTGGGACTTGGATAATCCAATTCCGAGTCCCAGGAGGTGGGGATTCGGATTACCCGGTAGGCATCACCAAGCTGTACTACAGTACTACTACTTAAATTACCTGTGATCTGTGAGATGCCTGGTGAACCCCAAACATCTACCATGCTCGGGCAGCTCTGCAGAAGGTAGAAAGGCCGCGAAGAGGGACCGCAAAAACAAGGATCCTCGTGCTGCTCAGCCGCACACAAGGGGATCGGGATGCCCCCTTCTCATGTCTAGTACCCCTGATGTACAATACTTCTCCTAATACCCTTCAGCAGAAGTTGTTTGCACAAAGACAGTGAAGAAGGCCCACTTTCTTATCTGACAGTCATGATCAATTCAGGATCGAGTCCTCCTGCTTCCCCCCCCCCCGCTCCAACCACTTCCGTCGCATCAGCATATCTCCTTAGGTCATCTGACGAAGAGGAGTTTAGAAGCGCAGTGCCGACTGCAGCAGTGTGCGATGCTCTTCACTTTGGACCCCAAGAAATTCAATGTACAGACCGATGCGCTTGGCTGTAACAACGCCGCGTTCATCAACTTGAATACAGTTGAGATGCCATGCGATAAAAAAAAAAAACATGCGCGCGCTCATTTCCGAAGGACGTATAACATGGCAAATAACTTGCTCATGCATGTGCCATATTGACACCTCGCTTCTCCATCACATCCGTGTTGTCCCCATTTCCCACTCTGGCAGTTGTGACATGCGGGACCGGTCTCTGTGCCAAGAAACGCAATAATGACCGGGTTGTTTGTTGCGCTGACAGATCCCTCCAACCATTTCAATAGCATCACAATACTTCCTTCCGTCATCTGCAGCTTGCAATGTATGCAATGCTGTGTCTGTGTCTCTGTGTGTGTGTGTGTGTGTGTGTGTGTGTGTGTGTGTGTGTGTGTGTGTGTGTGTCTGTGTGTGTGTGTGTGTGTGTGTGTGTGACTTCCCTACTGTTCTCCCTCCCTCCTTGCCCTGATGACATCATGTTCTGTGGCAACACTCATTGGTTCAATACTTTCCTGTCTGTCCCTGTCTTGGTGCCTCCTCTCACATATAGATATCTGTGACTTCTTTTGGATGGGCACCAAGAGCACCCATCGCGCCAACATAGCGCCTACATCTAGGTTGGTTATATCAACTGCAACTCAGTGGCAGGTGGAGGTAGCATTTCAAATCACTTGTAAGTTGGAACTTATAGTGTACCCCAGCATTGTCATGAGCCTTTTGATGGAACCAGCTCCTCTATAGATCGAAGAAATGCGATCCACATCCAACCTTCACTGGCTCACAAGGAGAGACCTTTTTCGGGCATTCTTCCGCAGAAACAAAAAGTGACGGTGACGTATTGGCTATGGTTGCTGACTGACACAAAAAATTGTAAACTCTGTACATTCTGACAGCCTACACAGTACAGAGGCTGTCTCCAGCATGTCTATGTCAGCATGTCGACCGTATTCTCCAGATGGCAGTTAAGCAGGTGAGAAGAAGAAGGAGAAATACATCAATGATACATAGAACATAAGATACTGCAATGACCGTTATACGCTACTTTGAACACCTGAAAGAAAATTTAATGCATGCAACCATAGCCAAGCATGACCGCTTGCCAAGGTGGACGTGACTCGCCAAATCTCTGTCATGTCAAACTGCAGCTGCAGATCGTGCTTTCTTTTCTAGTATGAGGCAGAGCGAATGGCGTTTGCAATCTCTCTCTCGATTGCGATTCCAGCTTGGCCCCCCATGCTTTGCTCACTTAGTCTGGAGGTTTCCAGCGCAAAGGCGGCAGATGGAGATGTGATGGTCTGACAAAATTGCTCTTGAGAAGACTCGAAGTCGTTTCCCCTGCCGCGGGCAACACTCGCTCCGCTCCGCTCCGCGCCCGAGTGGCCTTCTTGCAGTAGCAGGAGGCAGGCAGAAACGCGCCATGCTTGCAATTCCACATCATCAATCACGGCAATCTACTTCCCCATCGGAGAATGCTGAACACAGTCTGCTTGATCTTATAGGCAAAAAGGTGGAGGCAGAAAAAGGTCATGTGTCCGAAGCTCAATCAAGGTGATCCTTTCGCACATCAAAAGACGCTGAAAATAATCGGCTTGATGTTTTAGAAAAAAATGATGGTGCTCAGTTTGGGCACAAGAAGAGGGGTTTATTCGATCCCTCCACAAACTCATAGATGGCTTGTAATGGGGTCTATTCGAGGTCGTACAAATGGTTGTGTAATTGGCCCCTGCACATCAAAGGAAGCTTGCAATGCAAAGGGGTTTATGTGACCCCTTCACAAACTTGAAAACAGCTTGTAACAGGGTCTATTTGAGGTTTGTGCAAATGGCGTAGATTCCGCGTAATCAACCCCCGCACATCGAAGGAAGCTCAAGATGCTCTCCTTCCACTATTGACGGTCAAGATCTTCCGATTCCAGCTTTCACAACATGGCCAAGCTGACTAGTTTCACCCTCCGTAATGAGATCACTCAAGTGTTTGAGAGAATTCAAGACTGGCTCATGCGAAGTTAGCTGACCGGGTTCTTTGTTGCGCTGACAGAGCCAAAGAAGAAGAAGTGTTTGCTGCTCAAGCCACTGTTGCACCCATTAGTGATTCACTCACATGCTCACGCTACGCAGTGTGAGTAGCCACTTTCCTCCTCGCGCAATTCTTATCCTCTGTATATTGAGGTGGTTGCCCTTCTTGCTTCTCTGATGCACAGAGTTGTCCCCACTTGCATTCAGCAAATGCACGCTTCGCACAGTCTTCGTGAAGGCGAGAGAGCATACGCCACGAAACCTGTTCGAAAGTTCGCACTTCAAAAAACCAACCCCAAAAAGAGTCACCTTGTCTACGCTCCACATATCTCCTACCGTCGCCACCTGCAGCATAGAACGCCCCCGCCCGGTCATCATCGCTGCATCTGGACCGACAGTTGCCCCAAATGCGGCTTTAATGACTGGGGCATTCGATTTAGGCGAAGACGACCTCAAATGGCTCCCTGCCCTTTCCAGATGTACCCGTTCTTGCCTGCAGGTTTGCATGTTTGCAGGTTTGCAGGTTTGCAGGTTTGCAACCCCCCCCCTGACCTGCTATAGCCCGCTTGTCACCCTTCTCTGCCCCTCCCCTCCAAATTTCTGCAGCATAGACTTAGTTCGCGAATTCTTTTCTTTCCAACTGTCCGAATCTCCGCAAACAGCTGGTGCCAGTTCCTTTTCACCTGCCTGTCCGTTAACTTCGCGACATCTTTGAGGTTCTATCCCTGCAGGTTTGCCAGTTTGCAGAGCCTGTCCAGATCTGCTGGCCTGTTCTGTTCCCCTTCTCTGCCTGTCGGAATTTCCACACACAAACAGACTAAGTTCAAGATCAGTCACAACAATTCCCGATTATTATGGCCAAGCCTCAACGACTCGTATACTTCTCAGGAGGTGGGGTCAGGTCCTGCGAACGTCCAGTTAATGACCCTAAAGGCAGAGCCGAGGGCGGTGGCACCTTTGGAATTTCCTCCTGTGACGATCCACCACCTGACAGTGAGCTAACGGTCACCGTGCCTGACACGCCCGTCGACGCGGCCTTCCTGTGCTTCATTGCCTGAGATCCACTCCGAGAAGTACTCGACGTTACCCGTTCTGTTAGTATCTGCAACACCTGTTTCATGGTCGGACGATTTGACCCCTCTTCTTGAGTGCACATTTGCGCGACTTCGACGACCGCATACAGTTCTTGAAGATCGTAATTATCTCCCAGCACAGGATCAACCATGCTAGGAACCTTCTCCTTGTCCAGAAAGAAGATCTTGGCCCAATCAACTAAACTCCTCCACTCCTGGACAGCGTGTCGTCCTGTGATAATTTCGAGCAGCACAACGCCAAAGCTGAACACATCGCTTTTCTCCGTGAGCACATGTTTGTTAACATACTCAGGGTCCATATAGCCTGCAGGGAAAGTCCACCCCACAAAGCAAGAAGCGCAGAGAGGAACAAAAGTTAGAAACATTATCGAAGGGCATGATGCTTGGCTTTTTAAACCACACCGGCGCACCCACACCTGGAGGCGCTAGGCCGCGCGCCAAGCTTTTCCAAACCACCAACAGCGCACTTCTTTTCTTTTTTGGCTGGCAGTGCTGCCAGCCATTATGGTCCAGTAGGCCCAAGCCGCAAAGGCCCAAAACCGCAAAGGTTTCAGAGTACACGACGAACAAATTTCTGCACGGCTGGGGTCGTGTACTGGTGGTTTGAGGACCTGCTACACTCTATTTAGCATTGCCCATTTAAGTTCGCGCTTGAGGATCGTGTTAACTAAATTAGGAGTGTGATCCTCACATTTTTCACCTTCAGTCACTCTTGCACTATCAAAGGGCATGATGCAGGGCTATACACCATTCACCCCTGTTCTTAAGCTTCAGGATTGTCTTAACAAAATTACCACTGCAGCTTAAGGAGCTCCCTTAAACCACCGGTCACTCTTGCAGGCTGGTTTTTCCCAGCTGCATAGACAGGAGGTAGCAGATACCCTCAGTGAGTGACTAGGCATGAGGTCCACACTCTCTCTCTCTCTCTCTCTCTCTCTCTCTCTCTCTCTCTCTCTCTCTCTCTCTCTCT